CAGAAAATTCACTTATAAAGTTTTTGTTGTACGAGGGTGGTCTGTAGATCAGGCAGCAGAGTGTTGGGTTGGAGCGGCCCAGCTCAAAATGCAGCAGTTCAAAACTCTGAAAAGTTACAGCCTGTAGCGGTCTGCAGTTCCAGAGCTTTTTAAAAACTGTTAATAATCCACCACCCCTACCAGAAGTCCTTGGAACATTAAAAAAGGCACAATCCACCGGCAAAAGTTCAGAAAAAACACTTAACTCACCAGGGACAAGCCAGGTCTCTGTAACAAACATGAAGTCCAGTCCATTGGAGCAGAAAAAGTTGTTTAAGATGAAAGTTTATTTTTCAGTGACCTCACATTCAGCAGAGCAATCTTTGTAGGACCAGTAGCTGAAGGAAAAGCTGAGCACGGAGCACAGATCAGTTGTTTCAGATTTTTGGAGTTTGAAGCGCGCCTCCAAGGACCAGAGACGCCGTAGCTCTGCGCGCACCCACGGCGCTGGACAGGCTCGACTATGGGGATCAGGCAGGACCCAGTAGGATCAGCGAAGCACCCGGACAGACAAATATCCAGCAGATGGTCGGCAGGAGATGATGCAGCAGACAGTCCGGAGTTGGTTAAGTTCCACTGGAGATGACCAAAACAGCCGTGGCTGCACCAGGCCCGGCCACCTGAAGCAGGCTAGAGTTGAGTGGATCAGCGAAGCATCCGGATAGACAGTTTAACATCTGATGATCAGCAGCATATGACGAAGCAGCAGAGAGCTTGATGCTGGCTTTAATCCTCACGAGACGGCCGGCACGTCTTCCACGGCGCCTGGAGCAATGTTTTCGGGCGGGCAGAAACGCTGCGCGCTGCAGGTAAACAGGAACATCAACAAGCAGAGGGGGTGGGGGTCCAGAGCCCCGATCAAAGTGGTTGAACAAGGCAGGGTTTGCAGTAGATAATTGTATATTTAAAAGTTGTTGGCGATCATAAACAAGCAGTGAGTTGATGTCACAGAAGAAAAATGACAAAAACAGAAAAAAAAAACTATCAAAACAGACAGAGGTGAACGGCAAGCCACCAGCACCGGCGCCATCTTCCCGGAAGTCCGAAAGCTTCCTGGAAGTGCTTTGAAGACAAAGCAAAGCAAATTGGAGAGAAAGAGAGGAAAAGGCGCCCGCCCTTGACAAGAGCAAGTGTTTAGCTGTTTTTTATGTTAATTCCAGCTTTTTCAGCTTATTTCACATTTAGTGCACTCATTTCAACATTTTGGTTTCAGATAATTTCAATAGTTGTTTCAGATAATTGGGCGGTGTGAGGCTGCAGTTGGAGACTATCTGCCAAGGTTGGGCTTGCTCTGCAGGGCGAGGGTTCAGGTCTGCTGTCATCGGATCTGGGTGTCATTAGGATCCGGTCTTCGGTGGAGGATTTTGACGGCTGCTTGGGTAGCAAGATCTGTTTTTGTCTTCTTCTTTTTTAATTTTCTGGCGTCGGATTCGGGTGCAGTGACCACTGGCTACCATCAGAGGGCATCTGTGACTGGAGATTGGGCATTGGCCTTGCATGGCTACTTTATAAAACAATATCTCCACATTGTGAATTAGAATGTCAAGTAAATCCAAGCGTGGAAAGAAAGAACTTTTGGGAGAACTAAGTACAGAAGACATGGAGGACATTAAAACATCCTTAAACTTTATGAGTATGGAAATAGCTAAGCTGACATCAAAACAAGAACAAATACTTGGATTATTTGAAGAGGTGAAACAACTCAAAATTCAAATAAGTGAAAAGGACAAAAAAATTGTTGAACTTGAAAAAAGGGTTGACGACATGGAAAGGAATGCGAGACAAGAAAATTTGATTATAACTGGTCTTACAGTAAAACCAAAGTCCTTTGCAAAAGCTGTGACAGGTCCTGCAATAACTGAAGACGCATCACATCAAGACCTACGGACATTGGAAGATCAGGTTGTGTCATTTCTGCAGGAAAAAGACTTTAACGTGGAAAATGAGGATGTGTCTATTTGTTACACCTTGCCTGGATTGGATAAAAGCAAACCTGCAATAGTTATTAGATTCCTTAGCAGGAAACTAAGAAATAATGTGATGATGCAGGCAAAAAAACTAAAAGGTACAAAGGTATACATCAACGAACATCTAACAAAAAAGAATGCAACTATTGCACGTGAGGCAAGGTTGTTAAAAAAACAAAAACATATAACATCTACATGGACAAGAAACGGATATGTCTGGATCAAAGTGCAAGATGGGTTACAACC